ACAATTTTAACTTGAATCATAAACATTCAGGGTCAAAGTGCCTCTAGCCTTTTCACAAGTGCACAAGCTACAGGCGAACGCAATCAGTCTTTCTTTCATCTTCCATGCAAAAGCCACAGACCATCAGAGTCTCCAAAGGTGTCTATGCAACCACCAGGTGCAAGGCAGACCACGCAGTGGGAGAATGCTCAGAAAGCCCCATGCCTGGATTCTGCAGCTTGTATGTGTGGCCAGCACCAAAAAAAGATCAGTCTAATTTGTTCTGACATATATTCCCTCTGTATGGTTGGGCTGGAAATATTGCCTATCTTGTAGAAATGTGAACAGTGCCATTCCACAGGGCTCTTCTCAGGACTGGCCCAAACCCATGTAGCTCTGTAGCTGTACTGAACACTAAATAGTCTAAATAGTACAAATTGATACAAGCCACTTGCATATTCTCTGATCACAGCAGCTGAGGACAAAATTTATTGGATGCTAAAATAGATTAACATTTGCTTTACAGGTATATGATAAAATTGTAAGTACAGTAGCCCTAAGTTACGTGGTTGCTTGTGACATACATAATCCATCTGAGGTTTAGCAACTGCCTTCATATTCTACCATCAGCAAAGATAGCATATTCCTGAAGATCTGGTCCTTCCTTCATGACAGTTTGCTGGAAGCCCTTTGCTAGGCTCTACAAAGCCAGCCTGCACACTAGGGCACTCTCTAAAAAGTGTGATGCATTTAAACTCTTCTGGAGAAAAGAGGAAAAACTGATACTAGCTTACTTGAGAGCAGACATCTGGCAATTGAAAAACGGGTGGAGACAGCTTCCTGTCACTCCAGGTTTGGGTGTTCTAACCTAAAATATTTTTCTCAGGGAAACTGGTCTATTAGACCTCCCACTGGTACACCCAACATAAAAATTTCTGGCAAATTCAATATTTATGGAGGGGAAGAAGGGCAGAAAAGTTGATCAGATTTAGTCACAAGGAAACTCCAAGTACTTTCAGAGACAAGTAAATTGTACAGTTTGGCAAAGACAAACCTGCTGCTAGATGACCTTAATTTCACAAGCAGTATGTGAAACAAATGAAGGTGATAGGAGCAATCAACAGAGTCAGCATAGAATCAAGAAGAGAAAATAGGATAGAAGCCACTGCAACCAATTAGCTGGCTGAAAATCAGGAGATTAATCTGAGTATAGTCAGCCAGTTCCCATGGATCACTATAACATTTAACAGCAGTACTGGGTCTTCACAGCATAAAAGCAATGATGGAAAGCATACAGCAGAAAAAGTTACTCAATGACCTGTTCTTGAACAACAACTGATGCTGATGATAAAATTTAGAATTTTGTCCATCATGGGGAATAACACAGTGTGAGATACAGAACGGCCTAACAGAGTAATGGACTAGAGATCAGAAGTTTTATTCCTATTTCCATCATGGAACTGCAGGGTGATTACAGACAAGGCCTCATGTTCTGCCTCAGTTTCCCCACAAGCAAAGGATGCAGAAGCCTTGCACTTTGAGTCACAAGAAGAGTCTGCACCGATCTGGTTTGAAAAGTTGAAAAGCCTCCAAAACAAAACAAAAATACTGGAAAGATTTAATCAGTTTCTTGAAAATAAGAGTCAATTCACAAACTGCTTTTCAGGACATTGCCTTTTATTGGAGGAATGGGAATGGAAAAGTCAATACGGAACAAGCATACCGGTGAATTAAGCTGTTTGGGGGCAGATGTAATATAATGCACGTCTGTACTGGCTATTTAATCTCCAAGTGATGCATGTTCTGCAGAGCCAGATTTCAGGAACAGGTTTTAAAGGTGTCTGGAATACACAGCATGAAGGTGTATGAGAAGACATCTCAAAAGTAGGTGGAGGTTTTTCTAGAGAACACTTCCCTCCAGCAATTGCTGATGGAGGAACAGGCTGTGACACTGTTGCAAGGTGAAGGAAATGATAGCAACCCCTGTAGCTATTTATTCACTGCCGTTAATGACACGGGCGATGGGTGGAGAGATAATGGAAAGGCAATGCCATCTTCATGTCCTGCCTTCAAGTGCATAGCCTGAAAATCCAGCCTGATGTTTATATAGCGTTTTCAACCTGTAATCTGCTAAACGCTGCGATGAAATAATTATGCTTAAGGTTATAACTGGTTCTGATTTTACAGTTTAACACTGAGCATTAGAATTGACAAATGCCATTCCCCACTGAGTAAGTAACTGAACCTAAGCCTGGGGGCTGAGAGCTGGAAAAGCACCCAGTGGTTGTGGAGGGGAGGAAATACCAAAAGGAAGAGTATTTTATTAGCATCTGGGGAAGAAAAGGGGAAAAAGAGGAAGGGAGTCATGGAGGGCCCTCAAATATGTTTGTTTTACACAGGCTGTGTTGTTGTGATTGTCAGGCATTTCCCTTAAGGTAAGGAAGCCAGGCATGAAGTGGTAAAAGGACCGTCATTTGATTGGCATAGCAAAGTTTAGGGCAACAAGCCACGCCTGTGGCATGTGGGCACCCCTCCTAGAGAAACAGCTTTCAGTGTGGTATGCAAGTCTTGACTCTTAGGGGAAAACAAGAGAAGGAGACGTTTGTACTAAAATCTTTCTTGTGAACTGCACGGTGGCTCTTGAGAGCTGAGAGGCAGGAGAGTTTCCCCTGTGGTAAAGAATGGTGGAAGTTTTCAGCATCGTGTGTGGTTTTGCTGTGTGTGAAATGACAGCAACTGTACAAAACAGCTAAGAACATGAAACAAAGGAAAGGAAGGAAGGTTCAAGGAACTGAGCCCTTGAGCTCTGGCAGCCCAAGACAACAAGAGATTGCCACCTGAATGGTTAAGATGCCTGTAGACCTAGTTTCACTGAGGACTGCAAAATACAACCATTTTTATATTACTACATTCATGTAATACTGCATTTACCTACGCAGTTGGCTTTTCCTTTTCCCTCTTTAATGAAGTATTGTTACACTTGGGAATAGGGAAAAATTAGCTCACAAGGTACCAGAAGGTTTAGTTCATTTTTTTCTCCCCAGATTTCAGGACAGGCTTGAAGCTGTTGTTCTGTTAGCAGTCCTTGATAAATTTGAACTGGCCCCTGTGACTGCCAAACAAGTCCTGACATAAGTTAGACTAAGAATAATTTAATGCAAGGTTGAACCAGCTAATCTCTAGAGGTCTCTTCCAATTTAGACATTTTTATGATGGCATAAATGAATGATTATCTTTTATTTATTTATTTATTAATAGCTGCATGACTTAGAGGCAGAGCTATGCGAATAACTGAGCTTTTGGTGAACTGGATGAACAGAAGGTCAAGGAGGGAGACATGGTGTTGGGAAACAAAATTTTCCAACTCTTGGCAAGTTTCCCTTTCCTATTACTGAAACACTTAGCAGTGTATCAAGTCATTGCATTCCAGGCAAAATGTACCAGTTTCTACTCATTTCACAAAGATTATATTCAGTTAAGGTTTTTTGAGCAAAATGCTACTTAGGATGAAAAATCAAAATGTTTAAAAACACATTTCAGTCTTTAAAAAAATGTGTTGTTTTCTTGCGGGAACTATTCATAAATTTCTGAAGAGGCGACTGAAAGCATGGATAGTCTCCAGCGAGCCCGACTTCATTTTTTGCCAGATAGACTATTTCATTAAAAAACAATCAATCCCTTTGTCTGCTTAATCACTGTTCTGACAGGCTGCAAAGGAAAGACGAAGAATTCCTGCTCCATGCGGCGCTGCACAGAGTCACATGAAGGCCAAATGGAAAACCAAACCTAATTTTGCAAGGGCCATTAGGAGCCGTGGGCTCTCTAGTCCCTCAAGGATAAAATCTTAACACAACAAGGTTCAGAGTTTTAAAAGCGAATGCTTGAAGTTCTTCTCACCAGCCGGCACTTGCCCATTTTAATAGTTGGGCTGGCAAGCAAGGTTACTCAGTGAGCAGTATTGCTGCTTGTAAGTTTAATGGGAAGTGTTGGGTAACCAGCAATTTTCAAAGCCATACTACTTACTTTGGTACCTTGGGAGATCTCAGGCCTTGGATGCACATTTGGATATTCGTGGTGCACACAGTCCACTTGAAGTTCATGAGACTACACAGTCCAATAAGGTGGGGTTTGGGGTTTTTTTATGGGTACTTAAGGGAGATTTTCAGCCTGACTTCAGGCATTTTTCTTTTAGGTTAAGTCTTGGCCTAAGATTTTACTCCTATAGCTCACTAGATGTCTTTAAATTATTTTCCTCACTGAATTACTAAGCAAAAATAACCCTTCACAGTAACATTCAGCAGTAACAGTAGTTTTAAATGGAATAATTAAATAAAAGGTTAAAAGAGATAAAAATATTTCTTTTCCTCTGGAAAGGGAAACTGACATCAGTGAAGATCCTTATAGTTTGTTTGAATAAACCTAAATAATAAACAGAAATTGTTTCCTGAGGCAGTGACTCTTTTTGGTGCTGCATCAAAGCTGAGCTTAAAAGCCAGGATCACTCCCTTGGACAAGCAGAGCAAACAGAACTCTGCTCCAGCAACACTGGCTGAAAAAAATAACGAAGCCAAAGAGGTGGCAAGATGCTGATTGACTGAGGGCATATGGGAGACCTAAGGACAACAATCAATCATAGATCTATAAGCTGTTTAAAACTACTTAATGTGAGGGAGCAGCATCTGTGTGTTCGGACTGGCTATGGTGCCTCCAAAAAGCAACCCAACCCAACCTGAATTATGGGTAAGTGCTTCTTATGCTCCCTCCGACTGGCAGGGAGCCCTGTGCAACCTGCACCACATTACAGGGTGCCACCTGAGCGTGGAGACAGAGCTTGGGCCTCCAAATATTTAGACAGCCAATGTTTTCAGCAGTATTTTGGGTTTCCCATGGAGGGTTTGCAGGGGCTCCTGTCTGGACACATCAGGTTGGGAACGCCCAGTACAGGCCGTGAAGCATGCAGGTTGAATGGAGAACACAATGACTGCCTCTGCATTTGAGGCTAATCAGGTTTGATGTCTCACCTCTTGGTTCAGCATGGGCTTGTAGCCTGAGTTTTTGTTGGTGAGCTGCAAGGGTGCTATCTGGCTTGTCATGTGTAGTAACTTTCTCTTTTGAAGGCTGATATGCTGAAAGATCTGTGCTGCTGACATTAAAAGCTGGATTTTCAATGCCTTCTATTGCTGCTCTCTCTTCTTTTACTATAAGAAAACAAGGAGGTCAGAAGACCACATTATAGCAAAGTGTATTTCAATGACAAGCAGAAAATTCCTTCTAGTAATTCCTTTGCTGAAAGACTCAAGTGTATCGTCCTCAAATGTCGCCAAAACAGAATTAGGTTAAAATTAACTCTTAAAAAAAAAAAAAAGAAAAGAAAAAAAAAGGAAAGAATAAATGATTAAAATAATTACAAATTGCACCCTGACAAGCAAGAGCAAAATTTCGCCCACAGCCATTTGTCTGTAATTAGTTAATTAATCCTTACACAAATTATGAGCAATAACTCATCAAGCAAGGCTCACCCATCAGAAATTCAGCCGACTTGGATTTCTTCTGCTTAGTTTGCTTCAGAGCCTTCTGCTGGAACTTCTGGAGGGAAATTGTTAAATGAATAAATTAGCTAAAGAACGAAGATCATCCTTTATGATCCACAACTAACACAGTATTTTAAATATGGGATGGCATTGAAATGTCATTTAATTTAAATCTCTGCTAAAGGGGTCAAACACTAATTGAACAACAGAAGTGGAAGAATTAAATAAAATAGAAGAAAAGTTAAAAAAAATGCCAAATGAAGGTCACATTAAAATACTTTGTTTTTTTCCCAATTTTAATTAATGCAAAGAAACCTCAACAAATGAAGAACATTATATGACTAGTCTTTCAGTATGTTTTCTGCAGCAATTGCTTTATTTCACTTGCAGAACTGCAGCATTTCATTTAGAAAAGTCTGGTTATGCAGAGTATTTGTAGACAGACTTCCCCGACATCCCCTGTTGTCTTATATTCTAGGTCCACTTACATAACCAGTGTAGTTGTTCATCACAGAGCAGCTAAAAATGAATGAGCTGTACACTTTCATGAAATGTAATGAAATAAAAATAACCCCAAACCAATTTAGAATAATATGTCACAAAACATTGGTCCAGGGTAGAGGGGAAGCAGGACTCATTACAACAGTGAAAAGTTCACCTTATATTAGAGAGATGCCAGCAACTTACAGAGAAAACAAACAGTAAGAGATCTTGGAGGACTTAAACTCTGTCAAGTTCCACATTAATTCCTGTGGGTATGCAGGGCTCAAAAAATATGCGGTCACGTTACTATCATTAAGAGGCCCAAGTGTTAAACACCATCTTTGTATAATACCTCAAGCAGCGCTAGCAAGAATCACAGATGGGCTTGAACATCGCTACAGACCCCTATAGAGCAGATGCTAACAGTCAAAGCAGGCAAAGATTACCTAAAACAAAGCATGTCTGGGAATATTAACCAAAACCAAAACCGAAGTAAGAAAATAGTTTAGACTCATTTATTATTTTCAAACATCACATAGCAGTTTCTGAAAAGAGCATTATTTTTGTTCAAGCCAGTTGCTTAATTGTCCAATGATAAAGACCACTCCTGCCAACATAGCTCCTGGAAACTGTCAATACATGAGGCTTAATTACAAGAGTAATTGAAAAATTGCAGTTTTTACAGCATTCATCTTTCCCATTTGATCGTGGGTGTCAATTTCTAGCTAAAAAAAAAAAAAAAGAAAAGTGCTTCCAGCAGACAAAATCAATAAATCTGGCAAAAATAACCGAATCATACCACTCACAGATTAATATAGATATTAATATCCACATGTATATATGCACACACACATGTTATTCTGATAACAGTAGAATTGCTCTAAATTAAGACTATTACCCTACCAAAAGGCAAGTATGTGTGAAAATGACCAGACACTTTCTGAAAGCTACAAAAAATAAATACTGTAACAGAAATAATTCCTCTAAGTCACATGCAGCACAACTGAAGTTAATGATAATTTTGACAGGTGCTCAATAGGTTCAGATATTTACCCTACTGCTTCCAATTTTTTCCCCAACTGAAAAATCTTTCAAAAATAGGTATTTGCTAAGCTAGTATCTTTAGAATTGCACCTCTTTTCCAATGTTAAGTCTTTGCTGCACTCCTGCATGCTATAAAATTTTAATTAAGTTTTAAAGATTTCAACAGTATTCATAATACTACTGTGTGATAATTCTTACTATGTTGCATGTAATCTTTACATGTAATCATGTAAAACCTTGAACTCTGTGCTAACAACCAAAGAAAACATCATCTACAAAAATTCTGGACCATATTTCTAGCTGGTGTAAATCAGCATACATCCATAACTTCAACAGAATTCAGATGATCTGCATTACATTTTACGTATTCCTCCTGCATGTCAGATTTCCCTCGCAAAAAAAATTGCAGGCTATATTATTCATGTATTATATGTATATATATATAGTTGACTTTCAATTTTATAGTCTGTAAAATGCATAAGCTCCTTTCACAGCAAGAAGAAAAAAAGTATCCTTTCTTCCCCTCTATCTAATAAAGATGTATAGTGGGTTTTGACTTTTTGGAGTCGGGTTTTGTGTGCCTTGTTTTTTGTTTGTTTACTAAGGTTTAAGCATTCAGTATAGTTATCAACAAATTTTGTTTTACTCAGGCACACTTTGGCACTTCATTCATTCAAACGCAGATTAGGATTTTTACATAGCTGTGACTTAACAGGCTTGTGAGTCCTACTTACAAAGAAATGATGCTCTTGTCCCTTAATGTGATCAGGTTTTCAAAAGGTACTTTTCATGAGTTCATATTTTTAGAATGAGAGCAATACCTGATTTTTAACAGCAGAGAGGAGTTCTTTCAGGGTTACTTCTCAGTATAACTGAGTAACAGATTATTTTGGTGATACCCTTTGTGTAATCAACGCATGTTCTTGTCACTTTGTGCTTCAGAGGAAGTTAGAAGATATTTTCTTTTACTGCCTCTCTCCATCCAGTTTCGTCATCCTTCTCTCTTTTACACGAGTACTTTTAAGTAGTGTAAATTACAATCTTTCCACACCCTTTTCATTTTAGGTTTTCCTTCTCATTCCCCCTCCCCCTACGATATTTTGCCTTCTCATCAGAGAATAGGCAGGAAATTATCCAGTGGCATTTTATATTCATTTTACCATTAGTCACTACTAGTTAATTTATGTATGTGTGCAAATTTATGTCTAAAGCAATGGTGCTTTAATCAGTTTATATGTACCTGCAAAAGTTAAGTTGCCAATAGCAAATTAAACAAAACTCATTCAGTGACCACCTGCTATATTTACAGGCAAAGTCCAGTTGTGTGAGCATACCTGGGTAAATGTGCATGAATGCACATTTGTACAGAAAGCCACCATTCCAATTATTTAAAAATTGTAAAAAAAAAGAACATTAAAAAAGCATTCCTATTAAAAAAAAAAAAAAAAGAAAGAAAAGGAAAAAAGCAGGATTCTGCAATTTGAGGCCAGAATCTCAAGTACTACAAAGGCTGTGCTGGTTTACACCTGCAGTGGAGGTGGTCCAACTTGCAACCACAAACAATACACATCAGATCTCTCCATCCACAATCATCACGTACAAGGGGGATGTCCTTTGCTTGCAAAGTCAAGTTTAAAGGGTGATGTTGCTGCTGACCCTATCTCAAAGCTCCACCACAGCTGTCGAAAACCAGAACATCTTGCCTTTACACTTCTTTATTTTTTAATGCCTTTTTACCTTGAGTGCGCTCCATTACAGCAAAGACAAGGGGAGTTAGAAGTTTTTGAGCACAGAACAAACTGATCGCCATGTCATTCAAAAAGTGACCTAAACCTTTAAATGCCTTTTTGCATGCCATCATCATGAAAATGCACTACCTGCTTTGCGATACTAATTGGAACAAAGGAAAACCAGGAGTACCAGAACACAACGCATTTGGGTCTGCAGGAGAGCAGTGAGTGCTGCAGCAGCAGCAGAAGCAGCAAGGGAAAAAACCCTCATTTATAACCAGTGACAACTAAAACCTATGAAGTTTTTAAAAGAATGTGATTGTTGTCAAAAGGAATCGGGTACAACAATGCTGCGTTCAGCTCTGGTTCCACTCAAAGCCGTGGCTGAGGGGCTCTGGGAAAGCTGCTGGAAGGCTGGTGGGCACAGACCAGCAAGAAAGTGAATTTTGCATACTGTACGGATCATCGCTCAGTTCAGGGCAGTCATATTGAATCTGTGATCAACCAATTGTGCTTCATGAAACCGTCAACCCTCATTTATGTCTAGCTGTTTTCTTCTGTCCTGCTGTAAACAAGCTCTGCTCTGAGCTGTCTCCCTACCCTTATCTGCTTACGAAGATCACACAGACAGACCTCATCAGCAGCCTTAGAGTTAAAGTTAAAGTTACTGCTTCCAGACAGCAGTCCCCACGCAAGCTGGAAGTCAAAAAGAAGAGCAACTTTGGAATGACAGAGTTTTAGTTCCTTTTAGGAAATGCATACCTTAGATTCATACACATACTGGCATGTTATGTCTCTTTCATGAAATTAAATTAGGTGTTCCTAATATGAACAACTGTTTCTAACATCAGAAAACTAGCTCAGCAGATTCATCCATGGTTTTGTTTGTGGGTTGGTTGTTTTGGTGGTAGGTTGTTTTGTTGGGTTTTTTTTTCCTTTGGTCTTTTTTTTTTTTCCTTTGGGGCCTTGTTTGTATACAGCCAAAAGAGAAGTAGCTGGAATTATTGTCAATCTGGTACAGCTCCAAGAACCTAATAATGTCTGAAATGCTCTGAGGAGTGTAATGATGGTAAATAGGAACAGGTATGTTGGCTTCTGCTCTCATTCACTTCAGAAAGAGCATTAGTCTTTCAACATAAAGCAAGGCACAGTTTTCAAGGAATGATCCAGTAGCATAGAAAGGAATGGAGCCTTACTAAAAACATATTCCTCTGTGAACGTACACACACAAATGCACTAGTTGGTATTTACAGCATTTAATTCTTGCAACCAGCTGCTAAGTCCCTGATAAGGCTTTCCTTTATGCAGCTGGATCTGGAACCTTTTCCCTTCTCCTAGCCTATTAATTTTTCTATTTAAGGGATGGCAGCTAAAGAGAAACAGCTTGTAATTTGCACCTGTCTGCTTTAAGCACTCCATGTTAGATTTTGCATTGAGCAAACTCTTCACTGATAATGAGAACAACATTTAGTAGGGTCAAACATTATTTTTTTTGCTGACTCTGTAGCAATAAATAAATAAATAAATAAATAAATGCCCTCTTCATTTAAGCCTGTTATATCTAGAAAATGAGGCTAAAGCAAAATCCTTGTCAAAAAAGAGCTCAATGTGTAGGTGGAAGATGTAAACCCCCATGTCTAATTTAATATAATACTGGGCACAGCTAGGTGCAATTGAACCCATACATTGCCCATGCAGGAACATACTGGAGAGCTTTTGCCTCTTCCACTATAAAATTTAGAATTGTTTCAGAAAATGACCATGTGCAGAGAATCCTTCCAAATTTCTACCTACTGGGCTGCCACTTGAGGACCCCCTGGATGCTTTGCTATCTGCAGGGTCAGGCCTATGAGAAAATTGGTCTCCAAGGATTCAAAAGAAATGAATGCTTCACTCCTGATCCAGAGGTATGTGAGCATGGCTGTGCAGAGATGCGCTAGCTGGAGTGTAAAGCAGTGAAGGAGTACATCAAGCAAATAACGCACATGTGATCTTTCAGCCTTACATAAACTACCTTAACATGTTACCTTCTTGCTAGAAAACATGCATGGCACCTTCAGTCAACTGTGGTATCATTTGCAATTGCATTGAAAGGAAAACCCATTTAACTAGCATATTAGTTTAGTTACTAAGAAGTGGTCTTTTTCTTGTTTGCTCTTAAAATAGAAAAGTACCCCCCAAAAACCCTCAAGCTACAGAGTTGATGACAAGAACAAAAATGCTGGGGGCTAAAAAAAAAAAAGAACTAAAACAAAATAAAACACATAATTTATTAGAGAAAACATTGGTGCTGCATCTAGATTTCATAAATTGTCCCCATTTGTACTTCCTGTTTAAACAATAACTAACATGATGATGGGTTAAATGAAGTTGAGATTGTCACAAACATGGCCTCACTAGTAATTAATGTAGTTTAATATGGTTGTTGGCACACATCTCACATGACAGATAATGTTCCAACATGTCACTGATAGGACCTTTCAGCACAGCTTTAGGAGATCTAGCAGGCATTGCCGAGGTTGGTTAGGTCAAAGGGTTGAACCATGTGTAATTCAGAACAGAGGAGGTCCCACGGTCAGTCCACAAAAACAATTACACTACTTATTTCACTCCATCCCTTGCCCGAAATTCACAAGCCTCACAGTTTCAGTGCAGTCAATCTCACTCTGCCCCGGGGCTATGAGCCACATGAAAATATGTGGTGCTGTGTTTATAAATCTAATCAAAAATAGAAACAGTAGACAAGCACAATGAGGTTCTACTATGGATCATGGGAATTCTCTAAATTCTGAAGGCACTTTTGTTTAACTTCTGTGGGCCTTCTCCTACCATTACATTGTCTGGTACTCTCGTTAATCATCCCCTTGACTTGTCAATGATATAAAGGAGCCTAAGCGTCTGCTGACTTCCCTCCCATCACACTACAAATAATATTATGAAATAGCAATGCTAGGAATAACCACTTTAATTTTTCTTTTAAAGCACGTTTTTTCTTCACTTACCTCTTTCTCCATGCCAGCCTGCCCTTTCTCAGACCTGCAGCAGAAAATGCTTTCTCCTGCAACAAAGGAAAGGCAACACATCTGAATTTTCAGTCTGCACACAGTCATTAATACCCTTAAGGTTTAACACACAGACTTGAACAGCATCAGCCTAGAAACCTGTTGGGATGGGGTGTCTTTTGCTGCTGCAGTACCTGCTCCTGCCTTGCCAAACAGCAAATGGAGGAGATATAATGCTGTTCCTTCACCTTATATGTTTTGAAAACAGCTTTACATCAGATCACATTAAAAGAACAGTTAACAAAAGTAAACAAGAAAAACATACCTTAAGCTCAGATGAAGTAACACCAAAGATGTGGGTTTGCATGGCAGTAGCCCATGACTAGATGATTCCTGCCCCCAGGCAGTAACTGCTAAACCAACACAGAGACTGCTGTGGAATACACCTAACCTGAAGATTGCAATGCCAAACCTGCCAGACTTGGGAATACTTCTGTCATCCAGTATTTAAGTGGGTCCCACTTGTGCCTCATTCCCTGTACTGGGATTTCCATTAGAAGGATGGAAATTATCCTCTACTTTAAGTTTATAACCATTAAGCAAACATACAATAACTTCAAAATTATTTATCACATCAGCAAAAATGCCTCAAATTTGTACTAGCTACTTTTATCTCCATGTGGGAAAAAAAATTTATTAATTCTAAACAGCTAGACAAGTTGTTCCTGCACTCACTGAAATCAATAGCAAAACTCAATCTGACTCCACAGTTGCAAGACCTGAAACACAACAAATAGCAAGCTTCCTCCTTTGCCAGCTTCTCCCTTATGCATTTATACAAACACACATTCAAATTATTTTGCAGAGCCTGAAAACCTAAACAAGGCTTTGAACAATTAAAAATATCCCTTCAGAGTCCCTCAGAAGCTTTAGTTGACCTTTTGGGTCAGAAGATGCCCTGTACAAAGTACATGTTTGGCCCCAGTTGAGGAAACTCTCTCCTGAAAGCACCAGGCAAAGAAGTGCTTAATTCTGAGTACGCATGTAAGTTTCATTGAAATCAACACAATGGACAGTGGACAGGGCCACAGATTTTCCACAGAAAAAGGCTGCATTGTCACTCTGGTTGTTCTGTAATGAATGAAGGGCTGAGCTTTTGCCCAGGCTTTGCTGATTCTGAGAGCCTGCTGACCTTTGCCATCACTCCTCAATTTCTTTGCCCTCCCTGGGGTGCCAAGGCCACTGCAGCAATGCTGGGGACTGTGATTCTGGCAACTTCCAGTCCTCCTATGTTCAGCCTTGCCCAAACAGCCCTCGTACTGTAGCCTGCAGCTGTTGCAGAAACAGTGCCTAAATTCCTCTGCTTCATAGCACTTCATGATACTGAAAATAAAGTCCCACCAAGACCACACAGGGAGGCTCAGGTAATGTATGTAGTCATGATATATCTCAGAAAACAACACCAGAGTCCCAATTACAGAATCTGAGATTTATTTCCAGGCCAAGGTAGTATCTCCATCACTTTTCCAGCTGCTACTCTGATCTGATTGCGCCTCCACTGAATGCAACAGGTAACTAGTTTTGATCCTGATAGCGTGGCACATTCCTTGTTATGACTCAAATGGGAGCAGCAAAAAAGAACCTGTATGAACTAAAACCAATAAAAGCTTGAAATGGCTCCTTTCCCTTTCAAAGTAGAACCACAAAAAGGTCAGCAGAAAGAACTTGTGAAGATGGAAAAGGTGAATTTATAGCGTACATCCATGGTCAACATCTGCTCATTGAAGACAAGCCAAAGATGCAGTAATAAGGACTTTCAAAGCCACAGTAGTCCCAGGAATCCAAACATTAACAGGCAGACTTGGAATCTAATCTTAAAGAATATGATTGACCAAATTAGGGAAGCAAAGGCAAAGATATATAAACAATGAGTTCAGAGGGGACATTAAAAACATTAGTGCCTTAACAGAGATTTTCTTAGAGTTCAGAAACTTCCTTTTATTTGGGTTTTCTGGTCAAATTTTTTGTTTATTTGGGTGTGGGACACTTTGGTGGTTTTTATTAAATGAAGGTGCTAGACATTGCTTTTCCTTTTTTCTTTGTAATACTAACCAGGCAACACATTCAACACTGTATTAACTGACATTGACTGTGGCCTTACTTAACCTCAACAGCCTATTTTATTTAGCTGGATAACAGCTGAATCATTAGTGTTAAACTGGCTTGCAGTCTTGAAAAAGTACAGCAGAAAGAAAGTTCATGATTTTTCCATCAATCAAAACACAACATAAAAATCTATTTCAGATCCCACCAAATATCTTATTTTATACCCATCTGATGTAAAGTTTTGCATGATTTAGGGATGGACTTTAGTTACTTCTAAGTACATTTGCAGTATAATGACAAAGCAAAACAACCATGCAGAAGTTCTTAAACTGGATACTTCCTCTTCTTTTTTTTTTCCATTTTATTCCTCTTGTGCGGAAAAAAACCTAAGGAAGCTACATTAAATACAGACGATACTTGAATAGCTTTCTGTAATGAAAATAATCCGATTTTAATCAAAAAATTAATGAAATAGAGAGATGCAACAAAAATAACTCTTATAACACCACAACTGTACAGACAGGCTCCTGTCACCAGTCATATCTGGAAGAGATCAAAACAGCACACCTTACCACTGGAGCAGGCTGAGGTACCTCTTTCTCATGCTAGTTGATATTTTATGCTCTATCAGGTACTGGAAGTCACTTGGGCTGTATGCAGAGCTGGTATACAATAAGGGTCTTGCAAATGTAGCCATAAAATGTACTGCCCTTGCCACAGTGGCATGCAGAAGGAAAAAATTGTTCTGTTTGAGCCATGTACTCAGCATTTCCTTAAAGGATTCCCAAATGTGCAGGCATCTTATCACAGGCTAAGGAGAGCAATGCTGGGCACACTTAAGGTGCTGGTGATTGCTGGCAGAGAAATAGCAGGTTCATGGCAGTAGTAGCAAAGCAACAGTCTGTCATCATAGTGGCCGCCCTCACTCCTTTCTCACCTTCACCTGGTACACAATTTATCACATGCTAAGAAGAAGTGCTGAGGGATCTCTGTGATACAATATTGGCAGAAACCACTGAGTAAATGATAACCCTAACAACCTACTTGTAATTCCCTTTGGACTCTCCTATAAATACCAGCTGGCTAGCATTGGTCTTGAAGAAGTATTTCTTCAGGGGAAAATTGCACCTCTGGTGAAAGGAATCCATCAGTCACATAAATTCAGCAGGACTGACCTTTGAAGCCACAAGTGCTGTGCTTATCCTTCTTTAATCACCAATTTTGGGACCAGGTCCTTCAAAGTAATCTCACATAATTTCTAGCCTTTTATTATTTCTAATTTAAAAGTAAGGAGTTTACTGCAAATATGCTTTCATAAAGATCATTAATGCACAAAATTAACCTCATGTTCACTTACTTTTCTTGATATGTTGTAGTGTTCCTAATAATTTTCTGTGTACTTGGAAAAGTAGATAGATCAACAACTTTTCTGTTGATAAACCTCAGTAGGCAGCCAAGCAACACTCTGCTGTTTACTCACCAACCTCCCCTCCAGTGAAATGGGGGAAAGAAATAACAGGGTAACTGGGCAAAAACTCTGAACTGAGATAAAGATAGTTTTGTTATTTTTTTTTTTTTTTAAGGAGGAAAAGAAGCAATAGAGCTGGACACAGATTACAAGTGATGCAAAGTCAAACAATTGTTCACCACCAACTGGTGCCCTGATTGTCTCCAACAACAGCCCTGGCCAACTGCCACCCATGCCTCTCAACCCCAGTATTACTGCTGAGCACGATATTGTATGGTGAGATGTCCCTTCAATCAGTGGTCGTCATCTGTCTTAACTTTGTCCCCTCACAACTTCTTGTGTACCCCCTCCCTACTCACTGGTGGGTGGCGTGAGAAACAGGAAAGGCTTTGATTCTGTGCGAGCACTGCTCATCAGTAATGAAGACATCCTTGTGTTAGCAATACTTCTATCACAAATTCAAAACATAGCCCCATACAAGTTACTGTGAGGAAATTTAACTCTATCTCAGCCAAAACCAGTACACTAGATAATGTCAGCAATACCTGTAGAAGCAGCAAATGCCAAATTTTAATTTTGGTGGCCCCTTTCCAATATTCCCATTTCCCACCAAAAGGAAAGGACCATACACAAACCCTCATCACATTGCTTTCAGAGCCTGGTTTATGAATGATCATCTCCTAATGAAGTTTCAGGACTCATGTTTGAAAGTACTAGTAGTTTTAGAGGTAAAGTCAGTACTGGAGGAAGAGCAAAGCCAGCCCCAGCCTGGACAAAAGGCCTTCCAGAATAGGATGACAAGCTGCCAGTTTTGCCAGCCAGCTCTTTCTTTGGCACGGCTGCCCACTAGAAGTTTTAGGAACAGCTCAGGTCAAGATGGTAACATAATCAAGGGACTGAGCACGATAAGGAAATAGCTTCCCTTATGGTCACGGTAATGCCTAAATCTCTTCCACTTGTAAAACAGGCACAATAGTATTCTGCATTTGCCTGCCTTACCAGCCATGGTGGATTTCTGCTGACCCCTCTGGATACAACATCATCATGCCAGGAACCTCATCACCACCACAGTTCTTACTTCTCCATTCCTATATACATCCCAGTCCTTATCCAATACAAAAGGTTCTTCTCATTACAAAAAACTTTTGTGACTTACAATTCTTAAATAACACAGCCTTCACATTACAGTAGCTTGCCAATTAGAAGTACTGACCTGTACATGAAATCATAAAGAACATATCTCCTTTAAAAACAAAACTAGTGAATGATTTTTCTTGTGCAAAAACAATACTGTAAAATGTAAGGGGACACCATATGCAAAAGTAAATAAAAATCTGGACAGGTAGAAAATACCATCAGTAAACCTGTCAGCAAAGATAATACATTTTGCCTGTGCACAACTTTGGCAACAACAGCTCCAACTTCCTTTAAAAGTGTGTCCAAGTTTTCTCGCCAGTTTATTTTCAGGGAGTAAGTAGTCCA